TGCTACGGGGCTCCGTTGCCCCACCCGCGCGCTCCGGGCGCGCCGGGGGGGGCGCAGCATGTCTTAGAAAACCGTTCTATACAAACAGATTTTGTCTCCTACACGGTACATTTTTACATTTATTGATGTGATGCCTATTTATTTATGTAGTCCTATGCGTTATCTACCTAATACAATAAGTTTCTAATAAGAATATCAACAAACAACAGCTCAACGGCACTATAAAGTTTACAAATTAAAAAGTCTTAAAAAACCTACTTACATTCACTTAATGCCTAACTATCATATATCATTTTATAGAAGAAGTAAAAACACACAAAACAACATCATTATCATTACAAATATACCTATATCCTATCGACTATTCGTAAAAAACTATTTCCAATATTTTCCTTAATTACGCCTAAACTACTAATATGATTTACACAAAACTTTGATATATTACTCTTATAACTACCTATTTTCTAATAAGACATAAAATAAATCAATCAAAACATAAAACATACTATTATCGAAAACTATCAACTCAGGCAAAATCTTATAAGATGTGAGACAAGGACAGCCTATCGTCTCTGTTTCTCCTATAGGTCGGAACTATCAACATTCTAACTAGTTTCCCCGCGCCACCGCTTGGCGTCGTGGCGATCGTTTAGACAAATTCTTATAAGATTGTTGGAGAGAACGAGACGGAATATCGCTCTGAACTATCAATTTTACAATGGTTTACTATGGGCAAAGCTATCTATTATTGCGATATCCGACTCATTCTAATAAGACAACAAGGGAATGATATTTTTAATGTGTATACAACCGATACATGTGAAATCATAGATACATTTTATAAATCAATCTCATATTGTCGTAAGTTCATTTCCTCTCGCTTCGGTCGTCGCGTACAAATATACTAGCATTTTTATGCTTAATTAAAGCGTTAGTCGAGAGAGCAACTTATAAAACTATCATAAGTTAATAATACAATCATCATCATCAGCCTATTAATGTCTCCACTGCTGGGGCACAGGCCTTCTTTATGGATGGAATAGGGAGATTGGGCCATCACCCACCACGCGGGCCCAGTGCGGATTGGTGGGTGCTAACGACTGCAGATGCAGCCGGGACCAACGGCTTAACGTGCCATAATAAATATGCAATAATACAATATGTGATGAAAATGTATTTGTAAACGGAGGAGAAATAAAAAAAATATGATATAATGTTCTGAGCATTCCCTGTTCAACTGTAAAGTATTCTGGGCTGATAAGTGTGGCAGACGCGAAGCGATCGTGCTGTCAATAGTTTAAGTTTGTATTGTTTGTATCAATTTTGTGCGGATCGCTCTGTCCATTCTCTGTCTATGTGAGCAACCATAGCTCGCAAACATTACTACCACGTGACATATTACGCTGCCCGATGCTACCCAGATACGCACCAACCATGGCTTTCAACATCACTACCACGTCACTTACAACGCCGTCCGATGCTACCCAGCCATGGCTCCCAATATTCTTACCATGTCACCTATAACGCTGACCGATGCTGCCCAGATACGCACCGACCATGAGTCTCAACATTCCTAACATGTCACCTATAACTGTCCGACGCTACCCAGGCAAGCCGTATTGAATTACGTACCACATGTCGCCCCCACCACGCTTTAAAATTCCAAAACAATGTTGTTCCAAAATTCATTTATTTCAATTCGTATCTTGGTTCGCTTTTGGAAGTAATGATATTTTATAGTGAAAACACTAGACATTACATTAAGTAATGTGTAGCGGCATATTTTTTATACTTTATTCAACTTCATCTGAACTAATATGTGAACAAATAAACCACTGTTTAAATAACTTTTTTATCGAGAGTAAAAGATGGCTGATGTAACCAGACTAATCAGTCTGGTTACATCAGCCATACAAAATTTCACTTTTAAGACGTACCTAGCCCACTTTGGAAAATCGAATTTTTATTTTATGATTCTTAAACAGTTTCGTATGTAATTGATAGTAGTAAAAGTTATTTCGTTTGTAGTTGCTTCAAAATTGAAAAAGATACTTCTTTCTTGTAGACACATATCCGAAATCGTTTGTAGTTGATTGTAGTGAAAGAATTTTCGTTTGTAGCTGCTTCAAAATTGAAAAAGATACTCTATTCTTGCAGGATTTATAAACTGAAGATATACATATATCTAGTCAGATCATAAATTCTGTCACATGATGGAAAATGACCTCGTTGGATACGCGGAATACTGTTGCTCGCGTCTTCACTACTGTGTGCCTACACCTTATCATTTTGTTTGTTGTAGCTCTCTTCTACGGTAAAAATTTTATGGCGACCTGCAGACGGATTTTATAAAATAAAAAAAAAAAAGAAATTCGCTTTTAAGCAATGCATAAATTTTTTTGAGGCGCGAGGCCCCTTTTACCGCGAGGCCGTAGGCGGTGGCCCACGTCGCCCACGCCTTACGCCTCCTCTTTCTGTCATCTACACTAGAGTCTTCATTGTATCGTTTGATGGTACGATAAACGAATCTTTTGGTTATATTAAAATTTTTCAGTATGCCATAAAGGAGATTGCTCAGCTTCCATACATGTTTGGCCTAAAGACCAATAATCATGAAAAATTGTTTCCTAGATTCGAAATAATATATAAACTACTGTAGAAACAAATATTATTGACGGACACCCCTAAGAACTTCTATAAACCATATACACTGAAGATATTAAAATAATAAAAAACAAATAAGTTATATAGTAAACTAGAGAAATCAAGCCAAGTACCGAAATTATGGATTAGATTCAGGTATATAGAGCATGTAGATTAACAGATAGTTGCCTGTTTTTAAAGGTAATGCATAAGAGTAACTTATAAAATCAGGTGTCATCTATGCATTTCCGGTTATAATAAGGTACTCTGTGACAGAAACTGTGTGATGATTGTGAATGAGCCACAGATTAGAGAGAATTTTTAAACTCTCGTTAACCAAAGAAAGCTAAGAGATTTAGGTTATATAGCCATATATTCAGTAGCTTCATTATTTTGTTGTTTTTAATATAAACATATTTTAGATTTTTAGTGTATCACACCTTATAAGTTTATTTATATATTAATTTATAGTCAGGCAACGTAGGCCCATAGATATATACCTTCTAACATACGAGTATATACAGATTATAATGTGTTTATGGAGGTGTTTGGCGAAAAATGTATGGCAATAGACTTTATGATGTCGCCTACCATCTATAATAATTGTCTGAGCACATTTGTGGATATTAATACAATAGTGTAATAAAAAAAAAATCGATCTTTACAAAATAGATTTGTTTTTGAAGTTATACTTCTTTAGCCGCGTTATGAAAAAATTATGAGAGTGAAATTTTCATCACTGTAACACAAAATTTTAACATAATGAAGTTAGCCGCGGGCGCGTTATTTGTAATATTTTATTTTCCAAGTGACCGTGGGGCAGATTTGAACAAAGCAAACAGGGCAGATTTGAATGAAATGAAATGACATTTATTCAGTCTAGGCTGTTACAAGCACTTGTGAAGGTCAAGAAGCTACGCCATCGGTTCGCAAAACTACGGCGGGAGACCTTGTACTGAGAAGAACCGGCAAGAAACTCAGCAAGGGCTGTTTTTTTCTCCCTGTATTGTTATATACAGTGTCGTCAAGTTGAAAAATTACTTCAGAAATACGTCTGAAGTCACTTTCCATTACATCATCTAGAATATAAATATATAGTTACAATTAATTTTATAGTTAACATTTTAAGTAGTATATAGGAAGCGGCATTAGATAGGTACAATATTACTGTTATCAAAAATTACTAAGTGGTTAATAATCCACTTAGTGGTTAATAATCCACCATTATTAGACATCTGTTCGAAAGGTACTTTGAACGATCCACGGAGCTCCATAAGATGATCGCGTTGTCAAAAACAATGTTGGCACGCTCGTCGCCTCTGATCACTGTTTTCATATTTATAATATTTATCCACATGTTTCTAGTTTCTTTATAGACACAACGTGTTTTAGTTACTTACAAGTGTTAATTACATATGGACTAATAACTTAAATTCAGTAGTGATTTTAATTGAATATTTTGAATATTTATTTAATTTTTCAAATTAAAACTGAACTTAATTGACTGTGTTAACTATCCTTTTCCAGTCCTTTTATTATTTTATTGTAATTATTAATTATTTACATGCAATTAAAAATATTTTAATGATGTTAAAGAAGTATAACTTCTCACGCGCGTACATAAGTTACACGCATCCATTTTTTTATATTATATAAACAACTTCGATCAGTCTTTGGCTGAATGTTACTACACCCATAGCCATTAAAAATGATTCGTATGTTTTCCAAACCGGTAAAATTAAGTCCTTTTTAAAGTTAATATATTATACAAAAGTGTCCGTTTGCAATCTAATGACTGTAAATTAAATTATAAATTACTTACGCCAATATTACCGGTATGTCAATATTTTTTGTGCGTTTAGGCCAATTTGAGCAATCTCCTTTGAATTGGCGCGTAACCGCAACGACGCAACGCAATAACTGCAATGAGTAAAATTCTAAAAAGTATACATTTTTATTTTCATGAACAATTCGAGATTCGAATTCAATAAACTTTTTTGTGGCCAGCATTCTAAAAGAAAAGTTTTTACTGTGTGACAATACTTATGACCTGACTGTGTATAAAAATCACATGTACAGCATGTGTATTGGTATTCTAATAACAGCGTCAAAAATGATGACTTGACTACAGCGCCTTAACACTTCACTTTGCTTTATCACTTCTCTTCAATTTAGGAGTATTAAAGTGCATTCAAAGTTAAGGAATCCCTACAGTTTTAGGCCTTTTTAATATCACTTTTTTATTATGATTTTATATGCGTATAAAATTTGACCTATTGAAAAACACTTTTACGGTTTGTTTACAGTTTGGGTCAGAGGAAGTTGATTAGTATACTTAAAAATTTGTTTACTTATAGACCTGCAAAGAAGATGAACGTTATTGGCACAAACTCGAAGAAATGCTTCTCCAAGTAGCTCAAGGCAGTGTCCCCATGATTTTTAAACCCACTGTTGATTTGTATACTGAAACATCGGACACTTATCCTATAGTACCGCAAGGTGGTAAGTTATTTACACGTACATATTGTAATATCTATTCCATACATAGTAGTGGCATAGTATATTAAAGTAACATAAAATTTGTTTTTTAGAGCCAGTACAAATATCTATTACTTTGAAAAATCCTCTCAAGATATCGCTATTGTTGAAAGATGTAGAATTGCTGTGGCAATTCACACCTAATACAGAAGATGTAGAGCAGTTGGGAATGGAAATAAATAATGAGCCTTTAGTGACATCTGGCAATAATGTAGACAATAATATCATTGTTGGGAAAAAAATTAAATCTATTCTCCTGAATGGTGACAGCGACAAGATATTGACATTTTTAATAACTCCTTTACGAATTGGTCAGCTGAATATCCATGGGTTGGCTTACAAGTAAGTTTATAGAAAATGAAAACATTTTTCACAAGCATTTATTAACAAAAAATCTTAAAAGAAGAGGAGTCACACAATTAATTTGAAAACCTTGTACTGGGATAACGGCTCACTAGCTACCTAGCTAACCACTGTGACCATGCTTCTAGTAGAGTTTGGTACCTATTGAATTTTTCCAAATATTATTTTGATTTATCTTCTCGCGATTCTTAGGTTGATCAATGCTGGAGAAGGTGGCAATGAAAACGCAAATGCACCAGTGATATCTGGAAAAGTAAACCTCTCATCTTCAGACACCAATGAGAAGCGGTTACAGATTAAAGTAATACCGGAAGCTCCTTGTTTACAAGTAAGTACTGTATTATATTATAACGTGTCAGGATGTGGTTCGAAATCATAATGCCAGGTCCGCTTTGACGGTTCTTTATTCAGCACACAGTTCTATGGTAAACAAATAATAATAAATTCACTGTACTAAAGAAGTCCTTTTAAACTCGTACGAGCTCTTTACTTGCACCGTAATCGCTTTTGTAGTCGTCCATTTAATCGTTCCAAAATCGCGTTGAAATAAAACTGTCCACTGCGCGGAGCCGAATTCCAAATAAATCAAGTTCAATTGAGAATTTTCTAGTACCTATGCGCAGGTAGTCGTAACAAGCACAAGATATAAACAAGTTTACAGCTGTCATTGCACTTTCAGCCTAACGCCACTGTGCTATGGCTCGTATTCGAGTGGACCGCACTCGCACTAAGTCTCGTTGACTGTGACATATCCGGTGGACATGGTGCTTGTTTGTTTACTTATTGTAATGGAGTTCTACGTCACAACCGTTCTGTCGCGTTTCAGATATTTTCCACAAGTATTCCCACTTTTCGAACTTGCTCGAACATAAATTTTATCAATAAATATTGATGGAGGAACAATTCAAAAATAATAGAGTTTAAATAAAAAAATGCATTGTTTGAATTACAAGCATATATACTTACCCTTTAGTTTAAATCTTTGTTGATTTAAGTACAAATGTATGTGGTTTATTTTAGATGACTTTCACCGAAACATGCACAGAAGCCATAAGTAATGAGCTCAGAACGATAGACATGGAGTTGAGGAATGTAGGGCCTGTTGACATGAAGAACGTCCACATAGCCGTTTCTCATCCAGATTGCATTACTCTTATCACTGAAGATGGCGAAGATGACATTACAGCTCTTTATGAAGAAAAGTATCGAGAAATTCCTCAATTTACTGGTAAGTTTGAATTTACGTAACTGTGGAATTACATATATCTCTTTTTTATATTAATTTTAATCGACTCCACATGCAAAAATATGAACTTAATGTCTTGTACTGTCTGAATAAGCGAAGTGTATTCCCAGTAGCCAGTGGAATATTCGCAAGATGATACTTTCCCAGTTTTGGATAGACGTGTTCAACATCATATTATGTTAATGTCGCGTTATGACCCCATCGAAGAGTAACTGACCCCCACGGAGCCTAAATCGGGCACCCATAGAGCACTATAAGTCGCGGCATGAAACGCAAGCGTTGACTTATTGCGCAGAAGTAAAAACTAAGATGTCTAGGGGGAGCAGAGGTGTGCGGACGGGCGTGTTGTGCGCCGATTGGCTCTCTAGTCGTACTCCGTCCCCCGTTTGCATTTGCGTTGCAAACCTTATTTAAGTACTAATTTGTATTGCGTGCGCGACACTACCTATGCGCAGCTATCCCTTCCGCGTTTTGTTCAACGCTAGAGTTACATGCTGCGACCTGTACAGGGGCGTGCTTGGGCTCAAACTAAACAAACGAAACGAACTAAAAAGCTCCACATAACTGCCCCGAGGAAAACAGCGAACGACACTTATAAGTACACCGCTTAAGTGACACCCCTCCTGCGGGGTACAGGGTGTAGGGGAGGACGAGAACGGGGACCGTGAGAGGTGCGGGTGGCGGGCACATTCTTGTCAAATTACAAGTGCCCGCCGCCCGCACCTCTCACGGTCCCCGTTCTCGCCCTCCCCCACACTTCGTACCCCGCAGGCGAGGTCTTAGTTTAGTGGTTTACCTATAACATTAACGTTCGTAAACCCACATTACATACATTTTTTTTTTCAATCGGTCGTAAAAACAGCTAGCTTTTACCACACAAAATTTGACGATGACGACACGATTACGGAGCTGTCAAAATTCGTGGTTGGGCTTCTGTTCAGTGAAATTACGCGCTCACTACATGACCTTACGTTTGCTGCCCCGCCATTTGCCCTAATCTTACAGCCGTCATTGGGTTTGAATAGCACTTAAAACAAAACCGACTTCAAAATCGAAAATGGAACTAAAAAGTTAAAAAATAATATCTGGTTCTTGATTTGGAAGTCGGGCGGGTCACGATTGAAAGACGTATTATTACCGATCAGAAACGAAAATCAATTTAATGTTTCAATCTTGACCCCGCCTGATTTCATTTTATCATTTTAGTGAAAGTTACATCGTCCAAGTAAACAATAACACTATTGACGGAGAAATCGGTGAACATGCATAAAAATACATCGTGCGTGCCTTTGAAATTTGAAGGTATCCCTTGATTTCCCCGGATTCCACCATCAGATCCTGACTTGGTTCCAATGGGACCACCTCGGAAGTGCACTCTTTGGAATAAAAAAAAATTTTGGAAATCGGTCCACAATTGACGGAGAAATCGGTGAACATACATAAAAAAAAACAGTCGAAATCAGAACCTCCTCCTTTTTTGAATTCGGTCTATTTTAAAAATAGACCTGCGGGTGTTGTAGATGAGCGCGCGGCTCGTGCGGCGGCGTGGCGCGCGACGTGTGCGAGTCACGCCCGGCCGGCGGCGAGCGATGTGCCGCGCGGGGCGTGCGCCCGCCTGCGTCTGCTGCTGCGGCCGCGTGCCCTGCCCGCGCTGCACCTGCTCGCCTACTACGAGACCGGAGACCGCGCGCGACCCTACCGCCTGTTACGACACGTGTTCCGGTTCCACACCAGTGTGAGTATACACCCATACAAACTTCTTGAGCATCGACTATAAACAAGGAAGCCAGCCTGCGCAGTAATAATTTTACATACTGTTACGTGTCGGGAGGGGGGTCGTATTTATATGTCAGTTCACGCTTGACAGTACTTTATTCACCACACAATTAACACACAATGTTAATCACAGAACACTCACTAAACACTGTATTTCACTATACAAGTCTCTAAACAATCGCACTTGAACACTTGTGTTGCACTTTGATCGCCTTTGGATTCGCTCCGAAATCGCTGTTGAAACTCAACTGTCTCTGCGCGGCGCCAATCGCGCTTATATACGCCGATCGACGCATTCTAGAAAGTACCTGTTCAATTGAGAATTAGCTAGCACCCGCGAGTACGAAGTACCTACTTATACCTACGCAGGTAACGCGCATAACTTGTAAATAAGTGCAGATGTCGTTGCACTTTCTCCCTTACGCCGCTCTGCATAAGGCTTATTTTAGAATGAGCCGCATTACTCGACCTCTATCGCGACCCGCGGTGATCTGGCAAATTCGATCTATAGCACTTTCGCGGTTACGTTTCGATAGCGTTTGTGGCAATACAAAAACATCTATTGCGCAAGTTTATTTGCCTGTGGTTTTTCTCAATAAGTTTGCTGCTATCATTACCTCTCTACGTCCGCCTGCGCCTGCTGCTGAGGCCGTGCGCGCTGCACCTGCTCCCTACTACAACAAGTGCGGAATAAAATGAAAATTACGGATTCTGTCTCATAGAGTTAAATACCTACCTACATAATCATTATTATTGACGACCTCCGTGGCCGAGTGGTTTGTACGCCGGGTTGCATGGTGTCGCCGGCTCGGGAGGTCCCGGGTTCGAATCCCGGTGGGGGCAAATGTTTGTGTGATGAATACGAGCATTTGTACTCTAGTTATGTTTAATATGTTTTTCTATATAAATCTATATATATAAAAATGAAACCCGTTTTCCGTTGTCACGACATAACATGAAAACGGCTTGACCGATTTGGCTGTTTTTTTTTTGTAGTTTTCTAATACTCTGTACAAGGTTCTTACGGAAAAAAATATAAAGAAAATCTCTCAGAAAGATTGAAAAATATAACGTAACGAATGTCAACGTCATTCAATTTAAAACAAAAAATCTGTGGTAATCTGTGACACCACATCGATAACCGCGCTGACAAATGTCAACGTCATTTAATTTAAAACAAAAAAATCTGTGGTAATCTGTGACAACACATCCATAACCGCGCTAACAATAATTTTATTAAGTTTTTGATAAAGTTCGTTTTGTTTTAAAGACTAAGAAGTTTTTTGTTTGCTAATAAGTGTTTGTTAATCACGGTAAGTTCACTTCACTTCATATCGATTTTTGGTAACTTTTGGTGACTACACAATATTACAATTTTACATGGTTATACTGAAAATATATTTTCAGTTGTATTTTCGTTTTTAACAATGCCACCAACCAGACGTACAAACTTAGGCCGCAGAACTCGAAATACGGCAAGTCAAAGAAATATAAGAGCAAAATAAACACTATTATGAAAATATATATGTTGTTTTTTGAAGTTATACTTCTTTAGGCGCGTTATGAAAAATGATGAGAGTGAAATTTTAAGATGCGCGCGCATCACTGTAACACAAAAAATTAACAGCATGAAGTTTGTCGCTAAAGCGACTTTTACTTTTGTGTTTACCGCACATTAAGAAAATCTACCAACAAAATAGAAATAGAATCTCTATTTTGTGGGTGCTAACGACTGCATTGTGAAGGCTTATCAAAAGTATTTATTAATCTGGAACAACGGAACCAAAGCGCGATTCAGGAGACTACAGCGCCATCTCTTGACCATTGGTGTAGTAGAACCAAAAACCACATCTTTATTTTTTGTAATAAAGTAACAAAAAGTATTTATTAATCTGGAACAATGGAACCAAAGCGCGATTCAGGAGACTACAGCGCCATCTCTTAACCATTGGTGTAGTAGAACCAAAAACCACATCTTTATTTTTTGTAATAAAGTAACAGTTATAGGTATTCATATTTATAATATTTATCCACATGTTTCTAGTTTGTATATTCGGAATACGTGTTTGTGTTTCATACAAGTGCAAATCACATATGTTCTAATAAATTATATTCAGTAGCGATTTTAATTGAATATTTTGATTATTTATTTATTTTTTCAAATTAAAACTGAACTTTATTGACTGTGTCCTTTTCCAGACTTTTTATTAATTTATTGTAATTAATTATTTGCATGCAATTAAAAACTAATTTTAAACGATGCCAAAGAAGGATAACTTCTCACGCGCCTACATAAGTACACGCACCCATTTTTTTTATTTAATAAAAAAATAGTAAAGTCCTCAGGTATGGCGAGACCAGGGAAATAAAGATTCATTTTTATATGGAGGATATTATAGATTCCAGTTCAAATTGAATAGGTACTCATACATAAGATAGGTCAGCTATACAAAATAAAGTAGTGCATCAAAGCTACGCTAAGGCGGTACGAAGTTCGCCGGGTCAGCTAGTATACTTATATATTAGACCGCGTCTAGGCAAACGTAGTGTAGGACGATCGACGACGACCTCAGGCGAGATGGAGTGACGATTTGCGCAAGGTGGCTGGCAGGAGCTGGATGCGAGTAGCCCAAGATCGATCTGAGTGGCGTGCATTTGGAGAGGCCTATGTCCAGCAGTGGACTAAGATAGGTTGTGGATGATGATGATGATACTTAAATATGTATTCTATCCGTACCCATAACACAAGCCTTACATTGTTTACTTTGGGGCTAGGCTAATTGGTGTGCTGCGCGGCCATTCGGAAACGGGAGCACACGCGACCACACCCGCCCTTTCGGCACGCACTAGGGGGACCGCGGTTCTCATAGTGCGTGTCGGGTGACGGCGCAGGAGTATTGTTTGGTTTATAGTGGCCCTGTTCAGGGCGTTAGGTAGGGCCCTGTTCAGGGCGTTAGGTAGGGCCCTGTTTATTTCATCCGGCCACAGGGCTGGCTGATATGAACAGGGAGGAGTCCCACATACCTTCTTCTCGCTCCCCAATGGTTGAAGGATGCGGAAGGCATTTCCCAGACACAAAAAAGGCTAATTGGTGTTAAAACAAAATAATAATAATAATAATATGGCGTTATTAACTCAAACGTTAGTCATAATATCGCAACTAGTTAAAATTTTATAATAATATAGTTTTAATTTACTCTTTCTCACTGTTTTATTTGTCATCATACTAATAATAATCATAAAATTATACTATACAATTTACATTTAATACTTCACAATATATACCACAAGAAAACACTACATAATTAAAAAAAAAATTAATTTTCATAGGAGGCTGTTGAAGTTTCGGTCACACCTCGACGCTGTTTGAAAAATATCGACGGCACCACTTTAGAAAATATGTTCCTAGCCGTTGAACTGAAAAACGTCTGCGGTGAAAAAGAGCAAGAATTTAATATTGAAGTTCTAGAGGCGTCCTTGTTTAGCCGGCAATGGAGATTTACTGGTTTCACCACGGTCGCCAACAGAGTGGACATGTTGGCCTCACACGAGCGACTCCACCTCATCTTCAAAGCACAAAGAATATTGGAAAACCTTCCTGAAGGAAAAGTGGAACATACATGCTTAAAGTTAAACGAGGAATCTAAAGTCAATCTTACACAATACTACAAATACATCTCTGATTTCAAACCTTCCTTCCTTGAAAATATGGATTTACCCACTGAAAACCCGACCAAGAGACAAGCATTAATTCAATCAATGTTTGTAATAAGGTGGAGGGCACGCAATAAGACCGTAGGGCGTACGACGATCGGTCAACATTGCTTGTGGTTAGATTGCTTCACGAAGGCGGCGTCACGCAAAAAGGAACCAATACCCACAGACATGCCTGCTCTTCAACTCGATGACAGTGATAACAAATCCGATTTAATGGATCCGAAACAGAAAAACAGAAAGGATAATGTTGTGTTCCAGTTGGAACACACTAATATGATTCAGCATAACTTCAAACAAAGAAGGTTGTGTTTAGTACCAATCACAATAAATTTGGTTAATTGCTACGAGGTTCCAGTTAAAGTATTTATAGATATGTCAAAACAACAAAATAGGTGAGTGTATATCTATTTTTCATACAATAACCCCAATTTTGTTCAAAATGCTATCGTACTTGGGTTTAGATTCTGCTAAAGTAAACTTAATTAATATTAATAAGTGATTATATTGCACACAATAACAAGAAATAAGTATAAATCTAAATAATTATTTGATCTTTAACAAGTTCCAAGAAAAATTCATGTTGAAATCCAAATTTGAATTGTGGTTATTATGTTACTTCTTAACTTCCGTCTTCCGTACTTGGGTCTACATTCTGCCAAAGTAAACGTAATTAATTTAATAAGTGATTATATTGCACAATATAACATGAAATAAGTATAAGTCTCCCAATTCGTTATTTGATCTTTAACAAGTTCCAAGAAAAATTCATGTTGAAATCCAAATGTATATTTATATTGGATATTATGTTACTACTTAACTTCCATCTTCCGTCCGTTTCACCCCTTATCTGGTGTCATTTTTCGGGTGGCAATATATACCACTATTCCACTGCACCTAGCCTATGAAATATCACATTTTTACTCCAGTCCCTGAAGCATCAATTGAGCGTAATAAAAACGAGCTATATCTATCTATATATCATATCGCGATGCTCATGCAAAACGGGCTGGATTAAAAAGGTATCCGGCCCATCACCTAAAATTTTTTTCTAAAAAAGAAAAGGGAAGTCCTGTTTTTTCTGGATTTCCTGACCAACAATGAGAGTATAGTGTCAATGTCGATTGACGACCTCCGTGGTCGAGTGGTTTGTACGCCGGGTTTCATGGTGTCGCCTACTCGAGAGGTCTCCCGGGTTCGAATCCCGGTGGGGGCAGATGTTTGTGTGATCATTACGAGCATTTGTACTCCAGTCATGGATGTTTAATGTGTAATACTATAGAAATATACTAATATATGTACTGTATATGTATTCTTTCCGTTACCCTAGTATCCCATAACACAAGCCTTAGGCCGGGACTTCACCAAAGCGGAATCGAGACGAGCGGAGAGATGTTTTTTAAACAACCAATAGAATTTTTGACACATCTCCTCTCTGCTCAGCTTCAGTGAAGATCGCTGTGCGGAGATGTGTAATATTTGTATGGCGCGATGGAAGCGGATATGTGAGCTGTGCGCGGACGACGCGCAGTAGAGACGAGAGATGTGAGCGGCGTGCAGTGAGCAGTGTCACCCTCCCACCTCTCGCCCGCCAGCAACCCGCAGAACCCGGCTGAGCACTCAACGCCTCTTACCCGAGCCGAAAAACATCTCTTCTCGCATAGCACACAGCACACTGCACACTTCTCCGCTTTGGTGGAGTTCCACGAGCTGAAAAACATCTCTTCTCGCACAGCACACCGCACACATCTCGGCTTTGGTGGAGTCCCGGCCTTACAGCGCTTACTTTGGGGCTAGGCTAGTTGGTGTGAGTGTTGGAAATATTTATTTATGTCCTATGTTATTATCTTAGGGAGTCGATTGGTGAATTAGGGTGGGCCGGCGCTCTGAGCAACGGTCCCGAAGTGGAGGACAAGAAGCTCGGGGTCAGTGTTAGCTTGGCTCGATTCGAGTCGCGGCGGGTCGAAGTCCGCGCCTTATGTGCAGCCCCGGGCACTTACCTCGTCGGATCAGCATTCACCGTTACCTCTACCAAGGCTGATAACCAACAAGCTGTCACTAATATTTCGAACAACACCTCCCTATTAGTAGTACAACAGGCAGCTTGAATAACTGGGACCAAGATCTTGTGGCACTTAGATGGCATTGAAAGGCGAGCGCTGCTGATTAATAAGTGGTGAAATGAAGATTACTGTATAAGTACGTAAAACTGCTCACTAAAGGGAACGTTATAAATTACAATAACCCGGAAGGAGTAAAAGCAAATATTAAACACTCATTTATACTTTCCTAAAATTAGCTCCGATTTCCGCCACGCGCCACAAGATCTTGGTAGCACTGTACACTTTTGTCTAATAATAAATTTATGTTTAACGTATATTTTAATAAGCAAAAACTCTAAAATCAGTTAGGAGTCACGTACCTACCTTCCCATATTATAGGACTTTCCAAACCTTCAAAATGCCTGTTCTCATATAAAACGTATTAATTTAAAGGCTACTTGCAATCTATGAATTGTATCAGGTAAGTAAAAATAATAAAGATTGTTATTTATGTATATTATTATGATGTACAATATATTCCAAAGTAACAGTTGAACTGTATTATCTAAATGGGAAAATGCAATTCTATTTCAATTTTACTGCTTCAAATTTAATGCATTTTTTTATTTTGTATTAGTTTTCTATACATATGTTTTAACTATTGATTTATAATTTCAAACAATGATATAAATACACTACAGATTTAACATATTTTTCTTTCCTTCTCATGATATTTTTGGTAATATATAGTTAATTATTTTTGTGTCTTGCAACAGATCACTGTGGATTTGTGTCTATTTGGATAACTGCGTCGAGAAGGTATTGCTGAATTTTATAAAATTGCAAAAGTAATGCCACACGTACTTTAACTAGAGAATGGTTGATACGAGTCATTTGCTGTAATGTAAGTACCTATTACATAATCCAGATCGTCTTAACGCGTCCGTTGTGATAACTTAACTTATTTTTTTCCAGGGGCGTATTTTAAAATCTGGCGCCCGAGCTACTTACGATTAGCCCCCCGAATTAGTAAATGAAATAAAAATATAGGTCAGTACAAATGTCTTTATATGGCTTGTTCCGAACCTCGCAACTCTTAGAGCTGCCTCCGATCATGGCCCTAGCTGCTCAACATAATATGCAAGCTAAGCGAGCATCTGATCCTGAGCAGACTCATTACTACCGTAGAGCGGCTGCAACCACCGTTTCAGGAGCAGAGGTACAGTGACCCAGATCCTCCTCACCGGCAGAATAATCACAAATGTCCTATAGGATGCACCATCACACCGAGAAGATAATGAAAAAACTGGAACAAGTCGGAGGAGCTCTCAGCACGATAATAGGATACTACGCGAAAACGAACTAGAAAGCAAAATGGCCATAATACCTTAGTCCTTATACTGCCGCTGCTAGACTACAGTCAATCAATCAATCAAAATCGTTTATTCAGCACAGTACACGGATACAGATAAATTGTTATACAGAGTGGTTCAACTACTGTCAAGGTACATCGCGATAAACCAATGTAAGATTTAAGACAGTATAGAATGGGCCGCGATTCGCAACACCCAGCGCTTTATTGATCACGTGAATACTGAGGGCAGGGCCATCAGTCGCTATAGAAGCAATCAAAGCTTAATAATTTTATTGCTCCTGCAAACTCTTAAGTATTGAACTCCAACATAAGCACCATACAATATCTCTAGAATGGAATACTAAGGAAGTGGCATTAATAACCGACAAGATATTGCCATATTTAATAATCGGTTGCCTTCTCATATTATCATTGATCAAAGAAAAAAATGACAATCATTGGTCCATGTCGGTCATTGATTAGTACCACTACTTTACCTACGTTATGTTGCCGAGCAACCGTGGTTCATAACGAACACCGCACGAAGCACTAAAACCAACACTGTTCAGAATGAAAGGCGGTTAGGTATTAGAATAAGCTTGAGAACTCCCTAATGAATTGGCTAACAATAGGCTGACATGCCATCGCAAACCCTGAAATGCTATGATGTCCAGAAATTGGATATAAGAGTACCAAATGAGATTTTTTTTGTCGCCAGGGCGGCATGGTTTATTTCAAGTAAGGAACCCATGTCGTCATAACCGGCAGCAGGGTGCACATCCCAATGTTTTAGTGGTTAGTGTTTGATATATAACTCTCGTTCAGATAAGTTTACGGGGTTTTTTTATTATCCAAGGTCAAAGACCTCTCTTTCATCCTCCTTCTCTTTCATCCGGTGCAAGTAGCGAGCCGGCGATGTCTGACTTTTGTATCAGAAGAGTACCAACATTTTTGCAGTTTTTAAATTTATAGCCCAATTTATCGATTAAAATGTTTCGTAAATATGTTCTTCCTCCTTGAAAATTAAAATCTCTTAGTAGCTGCCAGGTTTTTGAAGTTATACTTCTTTAGGCGCGTTATGAAAAAATGAAGAGAGGGAAATTTTAAGATGCACGCGCATCACTGTAACACAAAATTTTAACAGCATGAAGTTGGTCGCTTCATGCGTTACTTTTGTGTTTACCGCACATTAAGAAAATCTACCAACAAAATAGAAATAGAATCTCTATTTAGTGGGTGCTAACGACTGCATTGTGAAAGGCCTATCAAAAGTATTTATTAATCTGGAACAACGGAACCAAAGCGCGATTCAGGAGACTACAGCGCCATCTCTTGACCATTGGTGTACTGAACCAAAAACCACATCTTTATTTTTTGTAATGAAGTAACAGTTATAGGTATTCATATTTATAATATCAAAAGTATTTATTAATCTGGAACAACGGAACCAAAGCGTGATTCAGGAGACTACAGCGCCATCTCTTGACCATTGGTGTAGTAGAACCAAAAACCACATCTTTATTTTTTGTAATAAAGTAACAGTTATAGGTATTCATATTTATAATATTTATCCACATGTTTCTAGTTTGTATATTCGGAATACGTGTTTGAGTTTCATACAAGTGCAAATCACATATGTTCTAATAAATTATATTCAGTAGCGATTTTAATTGAATATTTTGATTACTTATTTATTTTTTCAAATTAAAACTGAACTTTATTGACTGTGTCCTTTTCCAGACTTTTTATTAATTTATTGTAATTAATTATTTGCATGCAATTAAAAACTAATTTTAAACGATGCCAAAGAAGGATAACTTCTCACGCGCCTACATAAGTACACGCACCCATTTTTTTTCAAAGTTGAGATTTCCTTGGTAGCTTTCCCATTAAAGCATTATAGCGCATTATGCGGCATAATGCTTGAGTGTTCCAACTACAGCAACGCTTCGCACAATTGAGCACTCTCAAAAGTGGTGCTTTCGTGTGATGCGTGCAATCAATCGTACCAACTTAGAGACAGGAAATTAACAAGTGTTTTTTCTTTAAGTTGGCATTGATCGAAATGTATTATAATATTATTTATTGTTGAAAAATTATTAAAACTTTCGTTTCATCATAGTTTTTTTTTAAATAATCAAAGTTAATTCAAACTGTGTTAAAAATTAAATATAAATATGGATGAAGGTACAATCATTGACTTTTTTTTGAACACTGAACTTAGCGCACTCTGCTGGTGCATTTGAAAACTAATTCACGTTCCAATTAAGCATCAGCATAATTCGGCATTGTGCGGCACTGAGTCGCATTATGCTCTATAATTGGAAAGCAACCCTTATTTACAGCGTAAAAACTGTTGATTATGTTTCGTATCGCGCACATGTTAAAATCATCCAATTCTAATCGTTTTTTGTTTTATTTACGTTTCTTACTCTGTGTTGCCAATTTTAATCGTGTCTCTGGATTATTACTAGTGCTCGTACTAGCGCTTGGCGAAGTAGGTGGCAGTAGTTTGGCCTCTTTTTTTATTTTCATCAAAGTCCTTTTCGATATTCCAGTTGCAGCACATGTTCGTTTTACAACTTGGTCTACGGGAGTGGTATACTGTTTACCTTCTCTTTTTCGAAAAATTTTAGCATTTTCAAGATCTGTGGCGACGGGGCGTGCGCGAGTAGGAGAAAGGGGTAGTGGGAGCGGCGCCGCATTCCAGCGAGGTGCACAGATATTGTGACCGGGTAGTAGATATAAACAATAAGTTTTATAGTGAGCTTTACATTTTTAGTAAGTTTATATAGGAAGTTTCACATACCACATTATTGTTATGGACAATGTCTAATACCCATTTCATTACAAGAAACACCATGTAAATGCATTACGATCATTAAGATAATCATTAACTTTATAATAGATCTTACTCATAAGAGTATTCTTGATCTGATGTCAAAAACTTAAAGGTCAGAGGAAGCTCAATCAGATCTTGGGGAAAAAGTTCCCCAAGATCTAGATTAATAAAGATTAAACAGAGAAATACTACATCCCAGAAATGAAACTTGATTATTGAAGTTTGAAACATGGAACGGCAAGCTTTTTCTTAAATCTCGTGTTATATTAATTATTATTTCCACATCAGTTAAGTCTTAAGTTTTTAACAGCAAAAGCCGCGAAGCTCAGTCTACTTGAAATGGCATCAATATAAATCCACTAACTATACAGGCTGGTTGTTTATTTTTATGCTAGTATTAATCTGTCTCATATTAGGTAGAGTAAACATAATACATTAGTTTTACTAGATTTTAGTTTTAATTTATTTAACGTAAACTAATGTAGGACTTCAGAGAGCGTACAGTTTACTTGGTCATAACAATAATTTCCTCTTTTAGTTTTAAAAACTAAAGAGTTTGTCATCAGCAAATTATACTGTCTTACACAAATCTCTTGTTAAGTGAGGAAAGTCAATGAAATAAAATTAATTTACCTATATTTATTTTAGTATATGTATATAGCTATATAGATTTTATTTATTAATGGATAATTCTTTTTATTCTGCTTGCGGATCAGACATTTCTCCTTCTTCAAATGATTCCTTTCATGACGTTATGACTCTTGGTGACTCACTCAATTCTGAATTAACAGCTTTTAAGGATTTTTTTATATTTGTCATATTAACGCCCAAAGCATCCCGTGTCATCACCACGAATTGCTTGAGACATTTTCCCCTAATTATGTTCATGCGGTTCTTGTTTCTGAGAGCTGGTTGAAGCCCTGCCTAAACTCAACTTCATATGATATTCCTGGGTTTACGCTTATTAGGAACGATAGAATTGGCAAAGGTGGAGGTGGTGTTGCTATCTACCTTTGAGCAAATATCTCTTACAAGATTGTCAGTGTTTCACCCTCTCTTTTTTCGGTACTTCGGAATATATTTTTCTTGAAATCACTGTCAGTCGAGAAAAGGTTCTTTTAGGCGTTGTCTATTGCCCACCGTCTTTGGACTGCCATTATTCTTTGGAAGCTGCTCTGATGCCACTTAGCACTGATTACTCCCATCATCATCATCATGGGTGATTTTAACACCGACCTCGTTATAATTCCGTCTCCGCCGTTAAACTCCAAAATCTTTTCTGTGCTCCCTCTTAATCCCACTCATCATAATGCTCAATCATCAGACACATGGCTTGACCTTATTGTCACTTCCTCTGCGAATAACTTCACAAAGTTTGGTCAGTTCTCTGCTCCTGGTTTCTCTCACCATGATCTCATATTTGCTTCATATAAACTGAACATGACCAAACCGAAGCCAAAGGTACTGCTCATGCGCAATTTTGCCAAACTCAACACTGATGCTCTAAGCTCTGATGCTGCTGACATAGATTGGTCACCAGTTTTGAATTCCAATTCTATTGATGTTAAAGTTAACTCATTTAATTCTCAGATTCTTGAGCTCTATAATATCCATGCCCCCTTGCGTCGTGTAAAGCTGAAACGTCTCCCTGCTCCTTGGATATCCAAGGGAGTTCGTATGGCCATGTCTAGGCGTGATCGGGCCTTCCGCAAGTTTAAAAAGGAAAGATCGGAAGATAACTGGAATCGGTTTAAATCTGCCAGAAATTTGTGCAACCGGATGGTGAGATCTGCAAAGCGTCGCTACTTTTTCGACAGCCTGGCTAACTCCACATCAGCCGGGGCCTGGAAATTATTAAAAAGTGTTGGTCTCGGAAAGTCCCAGGCCTCTGCTGGTTTTTCTTCTTGCTCTTTTTCACTTAACGAACTTAACTCTCATTTCTCTTCAATTTCACCTCTAGACTGTATCACCAAATCCAACACGATTTCTGAATTAAAATCTATTCCGTCTCGTGATCTCGAGCCCTTCTCCTTCTCCTTAGTGTCAACTGACCATGTTAAAGAAATTTTTCGTTCCCTAAGTTCTAACGCTGTCGGCTGCGACGGCATCAGTCGCACTATGCTTCTAAATATTCAGGATTACATAATCCCAATTTTAACACATATCATAAATTTTTCCTTCGAGAATGGTTCGTTCCCTTCTTTGTGGAGAAAAGCCTTTATAATTCCTCTCCCAAAAACTAATAACCCTAAGGTATTGAGCCACTTTAGACCCATTTCTATTTTGCCGTTCCTCTCTAAAGTCCTGGAAGCAGTGGCACAAAAACAGCTTTCTAAATTTATTCTAGACAACTCATTACTCTCTCAATACCAATCTGGTTTTCGCCCAGGACACAGTACGTCTA